TTGGATCCATATGTGACTTTGGTTCTGATATGTGATATGTGATACATCTGATACTCCAACAGATCTCTGTTTTTTGGTTCTGACTGTGCTCATGTAAACTACATGTGTTATCCGAGGCAAATATGACTTCTATAAACTGTGTTGTTACTTGGAGATGATACATGTGTTTTGAATGATTACGGTTCTTGTCCCGGCATGTCTAGATAGTACTATCATTAACTAAGTTTTATACTCACCCCTTTCCTCCCCACCTTTTAGATTTCCATTTTGATTGGTAGCGATAGTTCCTACGACGACTCCGTCATCGCTGCACTGCCTTGATTGTGTGGGCATTTTCTGTATATTTACTTTTTGTATTTTAGATGCTCCATGTACAATCAGACATGTTTTTAGTATTTATATCTATTTGGATGTTCTTTTGGTGAGATGTTTTATCTACTTCGTCCTGGTCAGAGACTTACTAGGGTTGGTACGCCAATTCTAGTGCTGGTCACGCTTCCGGGTTGGAGCGTGACATAAGGCAACTCTGTGCTAGTTGAGTACAATCGCTAGATGCAGCAGTGCAAGTAGATAACTGCCTATCTGGGGAACCTCCACGCCAAGAAGAGCGCTGATGGCCATGAGACAATGACCCTCTCTAAAAGCTAGTACTACCACTAAAAGAGCCCTCTGTCTTGATCCTCTTCCCTACATCTCCTATCACTTACTCAGGTACCATAGAATGCTCCAAGAAACGAATGGACTCCACTACCCGAGCATAACTACACTCCCCTATATGAGATCCCAAGGCCCAGTATAATGAGGGTGATAGACTCTGAATGAATCTCGTAGCACGAGTGACATCATCCGAAATATGAGCGGGGGCATAACGGAGAGGCAGGTAAACTCCTTCTCATTCTCTGATATAGTCATGCCCGGCCTTTGCACTAATCTTTCAAACTCCCCTACTAACTTCACAATCCTGCTGGTCAGTAGAAATCTCCGTAAAAACTCTGTGCGAAACTCGTCCCAACTTATCGGAGAGGCACCTATCGGCCGAAGGGTCAACTACTAATCATACCAAGCCTGAGCTACTCCTCGTAGTCTAAAAGCCGCTAACTCCACTCGTCTAGTGTTAGAACACTGAAAAATCACAAACATCTTTATCAAGGTGTCTAAAAACTCATGTGGATCCTTCTTGGTACCTAACCTAGAGAAAATGGAGGATCCATACTCAGAAAGTCACAAAAATACCCGTCAAAACCAGACCTACACGGCTCCGGTGCAAGCACAGTCACAACTGAAGTGGGCCAGTATTCATTAAAGTGCCAGCTGGAAATGGTAGTTTGCTCGAGCTAGCCATATTTCCCATAAACTGAGTCATAGTCTACTGAAGTCCCTAAATGCTAGCCATATGACCTATCAACAACTCGAAAGCTATTGGGAAAGCAGTCGGATCTGCAGCAGTAGTCGACCCGCGAGTCTGTCTCGTAGCTCCTCCTCGTCCCCTAGCGTGGCCGCTCCCTCTTGTCTGCAAAGGGGCAGCTACACCCGAGGGGTTTCTCGACGTCCCAAGATCTACAGTCTCTCTCGGGGTGTACGAATATCACGTGGAGGGTCCATCTAAAAAACAACAGAATAACAACGGAACATAGCAACAGAATAAATGGGCATAAGGAATTGAAATATTGATTCAAACAATTCCTAAAAGGTTCTTAGTAGTTTTCCTGTTATGAAAGTGGGGCCCTCACCGTCATAACAAAAATAGTACCAAAGAACCCCACTCTAGTACTCCCAGATCCAAATCTTGCTCTGATACCACCTCTGTCACGCCCTAACCCGGGAGTGCAACCGGCATTAGAGTTGGCATACCAACTCTAGTAAGCCTCAAACTAGAACAAATCAGATAAAGTCCCTCGTCATAAAATATAATCAATATACATAACAAAACATGTTTGAACTGTACATAGAGCATCTAGAGTACAAAAATAAATATACAAGAAGTGCTCATACAATCAAGTCAGTGTAGCGGTGGCAGAACTGTCGTAGGGGCTACCGCTGCTGATCAAAACTAAAATCTGGAAAGTGGGAGGGAAAAAGGGGTGAGTATAAAACTCAATGAATAACAATACTACTCTAGACATGCCGGACAGGAATCGTAACCATTCAAAACACGAGTATTTTAAATATGCACAGTCAAAATCAGAAAATCAGAAATCTGTCAAAGTATCAGAACGTATCACATATCACATGTCATAATCAGGCCACATATAGACCTAGGGCACTCCCCGCACGCTACGGCAACCCACCATCCTCCAGCTGAGCTCCTAGCATTCCATATCAGAATCAGAGTCACATATCTCACATCTGATGCACTAGGTTCCCGTGCCAGAACCAGAACGAGAATCAAAATCACATATATCACATCATTGGGCCCAGGGCACTCCCGCACGCTACGATGACACACCATCCGTCGGCTAAGTCCCTTGCACTCCATATTAGAACCAGAACCACATAAAACTCCTGATAGATTAACTTTTAAAACGCATGTATCACTGAGACAGGTATATAATTAAATTACAGAAATAATTTCAAGCTTATCGTACTTTTAAACAGATAGATACATGTCTCGGAAGCAATACCATAGTTCAGGAATCAAAACACAGAAATTAGCATAAAATCGGAATGCAAACACATGTACAGAGAGTACTGTCACTCACCGGACACATCAAAACCAGGGCACTGAATCTCAAGCAAGCGGCTCAATGGTCAAATCATACCTCCCCTGTAATATCTACAATCACTAAATCATAAGTCAGAACCGAAATCAGAATTCATTTCAAAAAACTCAACTCTTGACACGTCTCCGAGACCTTTTCCGAGATGTCTCTACCAAACTAATTCATATCTAACCAACACAAGAATCTCATTCTAAATAGATCTCTTAAATCAAGATGAACCGGACGCTAAAGGTATTAAACTGGCTTGAACTGGACCCCTTCACCCCACAATTGAACTAATTAACCTCAAACTACCAAAATCGGGCAGAACCCGCCCAATAATCCCACTGAACCAGGCCGGACCAGCCCTAACTTCCTAAAAACCGAGCTAAACCGGGGGTAAATCCCCTAAAATAGGCCAAACCGGGTTGAACCGGGGCCAATTTCCCATTTTCCCATATGAACCAGCCCCAATCTACACTAAACCGGACAAATCTGGTCAAATTCCTCAAGGAACCAAGGTGAACCAGATCTCCTCACCCCTGAACCGACCCTAGTTCTTCAAAAACCAGCCGATTTGATTGTATTTGCTCAAATTCCTGGTGAACCAGGACAGTTCAAGGCCTGATCCCAATTTAGTCTTACTCCCCTTGACCCCTTAACCCAGAATTGGCCTTAATCCCTAAATCCAAACCAATTAAGGCCTTGAATCGGCCGATTCAAGCCCAACTGGGCTAGACCAGCCTGGTCAACCCCCAGTTAGACCCGGATACAATCTAGGTCTATCTCTTTTGCTCGCAACCCAAGTCACAAACCAGTGACTGCAGCATGCCCGAAACGCATCCAACTCAAAAAAATGAAATTTCCACTCGTACTTGAGCAAACCGAAGCCCACCAGTTAAAATCTGAAGCTCACCAACCACTTAACACCCTTTAATCAGAGCAATTTAACCCAAAAATCCAAAATTTTCCCAGCGTGCTCTGCCCCGTACAGTCAGCCTTCCCCAGTTTAATTCCCTCTCTAACTCACTCAAGCTCTTCAATTCCACACACCCCCGTGCTCGCCTCCCCTCAAGGCATATATACCCAAAATTTTAAGTGTTTCCTCGCTCCTATTGGAGGGAATTGCTTCAAGGACCTTCGGCCGGTTCCCAGCAGAAGGTTTCTCCCCTGTCCCGATCCAAACCCCCCATCTTTTGTTTGCTTCAATTAAATCCTCCCCTTTTCCAGTTAGGCCCTAAACCTTCCAAACTTTGTAAAAAATGCCCAAAAGATCCAATTTCTTCCACACCCTTAATTGATTTCTCTTCTCTCTCTCTCCTTTTTTTTTTTTTTTTTGGAAATCTCGGGCCTTTACATAAACCAAATCAACCAATTAAATTATGGTTTGTTTCGATTTATAGAAGAATTTTTTATATGATTTGATCCGTGATTTGATTGCTAAATAAATTCTATATACCAAATTAAACTATATTTTTTATATATAAAAAATTAAAAATTATATATAATTTATTTTTACTCCTTGACTATATTCTTTTTCTTTATACTTTTTTTATATTTGTATTTTTTTAATAACTGATTACTTTTTCTTCTTTAAATAATAATTTTTATTAGTATGAATTCATACTTATTATATTATATAAATATATTTACTATATAATATGTAACTATTGTGATTAATCAATAAAAAGTCAAATTTGTTAAATTAAACATATATAAAAGATTAAATATTTGATTTTTAAGAAAAATCTATCAAATTTTATAAATATATTTAATCTAATCTATTTTTGAAAATTATAAACCATAATTTCAAACTTCAAATTTAAAACGTAATTGGATTTGATGTCTAAAAATTAAACTTATAAAATATAATTTAGTTTATACTTGAATCTTAAAAAATAGTAAATCAAATTGTTCCATGAACATCCTAGATACTATTATTGGGTAATTTTATTCAAAATATACGGGACCTGATCTCATTAACGATTAAACATAAAGTGATATGGATCCGGACTTGATTTTATCATTTTTCTTCTATATACAGCTGACGCATTGCCTGTGGTTTAATAAGTAAACAATTTGCCACTAGGACGCTGATATGGCACGTTATGAGAGGTTGTTGGGCAAACCTTGACTACAGTGGTTGTCCCTTTTTTAGCATTTTTTCTTCTGGAATAAACCCTGTGGATCTTGGCCAACTCAAAAGCTCGCTTTTATAAAACGGGGTAGAGGTGAAAAGCCTTGTCTTCACACCACTCTTCTCTAAATTTCATCTCTCTGCTTGCGAAGGTCTGAGTGTAGAGAAGAAAAGTAAAGATGAGTCTAAAAGGGAAGATGGTGCGGCAGGTGGCCATTAAATCCAACGGAGATGTCTTCCATGAGATATTCAGGCACAGGCCACATCACATCTCCAATATGTCCCCCGATAACATTCAGGGCTGCGACTTGCACCAAGGCAACTGGGGTACTGTGGGTTCTGTCGTTTTCTGGAATTACACTCATGGTATGAATGTCCTACGCTCCAACATTAGGCCACCTTTTTACCCATTGGATGGTTAAGACAAATATGTAAAGAGTGATTGTTTTTGCATTTTTTTTCCTATTTTCAGTCCTCTTTTCTGTGTTTTTCGATTGAATATTATGACAAATTCATTCTTTTTGTTCTGTTTTCATTTTCAAGCAAACTAGTTGTTTAAAATTCTAAAATAAGTCTTGTCTTTTGAAAATTTTCTCGGAAACAGTTTTCAAAAACATCCTGTGCCAAACGGCTTTTTGTTTAAAGCAACAAAAACTATTTTCGAAAAATCTAAATACTCCCTTGAAAAATCTTTCTGGCCGTAACTTTGTTCATCCTTGATACTGGCTACATATAAGTGAAGGCATAATAAACTAAAAGAGTACTGTGTATGAGCAATAAATTAAATAATTTAGAGTCCTTAAATAGTTAATTGGAAAAATAAACACTTACCCATTGTTATGGAAGTGTTCAATTAGAAAGATAAGCACCAAAAATACATCTGAAATTTAAAACCTCGGTAGTAGGATATAAAGGTAAGTATTGGTAAGTTGTTAGTGAACAACAATATGTTGAAACCCGAAGTTACTAGGAAAAAGAATTTAATTTGGATTGAGCTTGTCCGTTGACTGAAAAGAAAAGGTAGGATAATGATGTTTGTTCTTTTCATTTTGTACTTGTTAATTACTAGATTAATGAACACATCTGAGTTTAATTTGATGGGGGCAACACAGATGGGAAGAAGAAGGTAGCCAAGGAGATTATCCAAGCAATTGATGAGGAAAACAAGTCGGTGACCTACAAGGTGATAGAGGGAGATCTGATGCAGCTGTACAAGACCTTCATCATCATCGTGCATGTGGACACTAAAGGAGAGAACAACCTGGTGAACTGGACCTTCGACTACGAGAAGCTGAACGAGAGAGTTGAAGATCCAAACACATTGATGGACTTCTGTATTGCAGTCACCAAGGACATTGAGACCCATCATCTCAAATAATTACATAAATACTAAAATAAAAGCTTCACCACGAGGCTAGCTGGTATGGGGTAGTATGCGTGTGAAATTAAAACCGGTATGAGTGCCGACCTACTTCTACGGTAGAAGTAAAACTATCTATTTTCTATGTTAAATTATTCAGGTGTGATGATTATCTAACTTCTCTGCTTGTGGCATCAGAATATCTAAGTTTGGTTGCTTCCTTTCCTTTCATCATTTGGTAATAAAGATGTATTTGTTTATGTAATTCCTTCGTTAATCTCTCTCTCTCTCTCTCTCTCTCTCTACATATAAAAAACAAACATTCGGACGTCAAATGGGTCCTAAAATGGTATTGAATTCGAGCCCATGATTTCAATAACTTGTAATTAGGAGTTCAAAGAGTTTGGTTCGAATCAAATGATTTTGTAAATTAAAACCAAAATCAAACGGAACCAAGATCAAATTGATTTTTAAATATTATTAATACATATGCATATTTATATTGTTAAATATGTAACTTAAAATATAAGGATGCAATTTATATGTAAAATATGTATACAAATAACATTCTAAATAACAAGTGTGGATAAGATAATATAAAATAAATTATTTCAAAAACCAAAAAACCGAATCAAGCATCAGGAAAAATGAAATAACCGGTTTGGTTTTGGTTTACAGAAAGAACCTAACTAATCAAAATAAATTATTTTGCATTTTATTAGCCATATATTATTTAAAATGTTATTTCTATGCATATTTTAACTATAAATTGCTTAATTATATTATAAGTTATATATTTAACAATATAACTATGCACATACTTCTTCTTCTTTTTCTTCTTCTTCTTATTATTATTATTATTGTTATTGTTATTATTATTATTATTATTATTATTATTATTATTATTATTATTATTATTATTATTATTATTATTAAAACCAATTTGGTCTTGGTTTCATTTTGCACTGGCTTGGTTTGCTTTTGGTTTTAGTTTATGGAGGGCCAATTTTTGGTTCTCGCAATATTAAATAATTGGACATATTAAGCAGGATAAACAAAAAAAAAATAAAGATAAGTTATTGGAGAGGCAACTAAAACACTCTTTTTCTTTTTTTTGCTATTGAAGAAATATAAGATTTTATTTCGTATTTTTGAATTTTTGCTTGACTGTATATTTTCAAGATTCTAACTTTTAACCCTCTAATGGTGACGCCTAAAGGGTATTGAAAAACTATTGAATTTGATGGTTCTAATATTGTTGATTTGGTACAAAAAATATGAGCTTCGTCTCAATGTTTGATGGGTTAGGTTCATAATTATCACAATTAATAGAGTAATCAGAACGTCTCAGTTGGCCAAAACAGGTGGGATGAAGTAATAGATTGAGAACAAGCCGGGGAATTTCAAGGTGATCATGATACAAGGAGATATGATGTAGCTGGGCAAGACATTTATTCCACCGTCCACGTTGAACAAGAGGAGATGACAACATGGTCACGTGGATCGTTGAATTCTTAAAAAATGGTTGGGATCCAAATTAAAGATGAAAATAAGTTAAGTTATTTGAAAGCTGTATGTTATTTAGTCTATTTTAATTTGATTTAACATAATTTATTTTTACTTTTAAATCAAGACTTGTAATCGTCTAAGAATAATTGCCCTTAATATTATTAAGTTAAATTACTTGTTAAGTTCGAATCAACTATTCAAAATATATAAATTTAACTTGTTTAACAGTAACTCTTCATAATTTTATATATTATATAATAATACACTTAGAACAAAATATAATAGATCACTGCAAAAAAATAGTCTTTCAGTGATGGAAGATTTCCGTCGCTAAATTAATAAAATCCGTCACTAAATACATTTAATGACGAAAAAAAATCTATCGATAAAACGGCATCACTAATTTAGTGACGGAAATCCGTGACGGAAAATTAGCAACGGAAATTCTGTTGCTAATTACCAACAAAAATTTTATCGTTAAATTCTGTCGTTAAATTATCAACGAAAATTTCGTCGCTAAATTACCAACAAAAATTCTGTCGTTAAATTCTTTCACTAATTACCAACAAAAACTCCGTCACTAAATTATCAACAAAAATTTTGTCGCTAAATTCTGCCACTAAATTACCAATAAAAATTCCGTCACTAAATTCTGTCGCTAAATTCCATCTACTATTAAATTTTTGTTAATAATTTTTTCCAATACAAATGCTTGTTTATAATAAAACCTTTATTTCATTTTCATAATACTTGATGTAATAAAAATAATGTGATTTGCTCATAATTCATTAAAAAATGTAATACAACCATATATTAATAAAATATACATTACAATCATGAAAATGTAAATAATATCCAACAAATTTTCAAAATCTTACTCCAACATATAATTTGTAAATTTAACCATACAATAATTACACATAATATAACAATGTTCTATTCATATCAGAAACTCCGTCCATTTCATTGGAAAGGTTAACAAAATGGTTTGATTGCAATATCTACCCCAAAACATCATAAATTGGCATCCTTCCACACTTGTATTGTTGCTAAATGAGTAAGATGAACCATGATTAATCTGCAATGACATATCAGAAAAAAAATTAAAAAAACAATCATAAAAATTAAATAATTATAAATAGATAATTAGATTTGGGTCACATTTAAAATGACTTGATTTGATTCAAATCCGCCTATTTATAGCCTCAAATATATCTAATTTCTCAAATTTTATTATTTTCAAAGTGTCAATCAAGAGTATTTGGCTTAACTTTAAAAATTAATATTATAATAAAAATTTATAATTATAAATGAACATGTAATATAAACTGAAAATGTTTTTCAAAGTTAATTTTATGAAAAAATTGATTTTGGGTTTAATAAACTTTTTAATACAAATCAGATATTACAAAAATCAAAACTTTTGAACTTAAAAATTTAAAATTCAAAAAAAAAATTTCACAAAACTTTTTTCTTTTTCCCCAAAGTCCAATTCTCAAAAATTTATCTAAAATAAATAAACAAAGAAATAAATATTTTTAGATGACATTACAATGACCTTTTAGTGTGTTAGAGATCACTGAGAGGAAAAAAAGGGAGCAAAAGCTCACGAGGAGACATAAGCACAAAAACAGTGAAGTCTGATTTTAAGGCCTTTTTTTCAATTAAAAACTATTATTCATTAAAAACAAGGGTAACGTTGTCTTTCAAACAGCTAAATGGTCATGGATGTTCAAGATTCTGTTGCCACGCGTCGCTCTAACAGCCAACTGGCATTCGCCAAATGCCAACAATTTAGGCTTGTAGTTGCCGGATTTTTTTTTTTTTTTTTTTTTGGGTATGTTGAAAAGAATATATATTCATATTTATCTGGAAAAAGTAAACGATTTAAAAATTCAGTATTTACTATCAATATATAAAACATAGCTTCGTAAATCTATTTATATTTTTTATGTTAATTCAGAAATAATTCATTACTAATTTATATGTAATTTACACGTCTATATTAAGTAATTTTCAAATTTCATATTAGCACAAAATATAAGCAGCATAAAACTTATAACCTATGACTTTTTTAGCACAACAGCAATTATGTAAAAAATTAAACAATCTCTAACTGCTTGACAGAAACACTATAAGATATGAAACCATCCCATTGAGTACAAGAAAGCCCTAAATACCTCTAGACATAAAATGACATGACATCAAGCATGTGACCTCAAGTCACATATAAGCTGCATATGAGGGAAAATTTTTAGAAAATTCAATTAAAAAAAATGAACTTGGAGATTTACGTACTGAAAGAGTCCCAAGCTTCTTTCAGCACTTTTCCATCTTCCCCACTCAAAGTTAATCAGAGAACAGATATTAGATATAAAATTATTAAAAATATCATATATGTATCAGCTTGTACGTAGATCTGTCTCACTGATCAAGAATAAGGACCAACGTAACCTACACTTTCTACGAAGTTTCAGTGACAGGCACAAGACATTTTAAATTTCACCACAGGCACACTAAATTTTTCCCCGATAAATCCAAGAAACAACAATAAGAGCATACATAATTCTACATCAACCACCACCAACAAACAATACAGATATATATATATATATATATATATACATCTCTATGCCAGTTATGTGTATTTACAATAAAAGTACAGCGCCACTGTGTGAAAATCAACTATGTGAAAAATTAACATAACAATCAGACACGATTCAATAAATCGGCAGATCAAGCAGTACAACCGCGAGTTGAGACCCAAATCTCAAATCTTACCGCATAAAACTTCAGCACAAACAAAACTTATATCCAACACAAGGTCATACAACTTCGAAGACATCAACCAACCACCATAATCCGACAAGTGGATACATATCAAACGAAATGACAAAAACGAGCAAAAGTTAAAAGAGACCCATACTTACAAAATGCGAAATTGGGAATAGAATGATAATAATCGCCGAATATATACGGAGAAACCTTCCACGAAGCCTAAAATCGAGAGCCAGATGAATCAGAAAGGCAGATAATGTAGAACCAAGCATGCATGGAAACACATATATAGATCAGGCACAAGCGTAGTTAACTATTTTGTATGAAGACTTACAGACAATAACTTGGAAGAGAAATTGGTGGAAGGAGTAACCAAGAAACCCCAGATTGCGCTTCCAGGAAGAGGCGGCAGTCAATTGCGGTAATGCAGTTCCTTTTTCTTCGTATGAGGCAGAGAGAAGAACGAGGAGTTTGTAATTAATGATGGAAGATGCAGATTTGAGAATTGAAGGGGAAGAGATTTGGTTTGGTTTGATTCGGTTTATTTAGTTTGGTTTAGTTTGATGAATACCTTAACGGAGGTTAAATCGGACGGTGTTGTTTTCCATCAGATCTCGAGGCACAAGCCTCGTCACAAACATACAAAGATGCAATTTGCATGAAGGTGAATGGGGTACGGTTCGCCGAGTCATCTATCGGAATTACACTCACGGTATAAAGGCTATGCCTTA